GTGTTTATGCATAAAAATGATTTCTATACAAAATCCAATTACTTATTATTAAGCATAATAAAACAAACCGTCTTGTCGATTATTAATCTACTGCTTAATTCTAGCATATTTATATTAATATAATATTTAAAAATTTGACTAAAAAATGTGTATAAAATAAGATTTCCAACATGTTTTCAGTAACTTTAAGAATCATAAGATTTATCGACTCTATAAAAATGTATTTTTTATCTTACTTTCCTCCCATACTGGGACCTCTTCCTGAAATACTTCACTGACGTAAGTTTTGTAGAAGAAAATCAGCTTCTTTTCTAGATCTGTTACTCCGTACAAGTCTAATATGAGAAAGTTGAGTAATTTGTCCTCAAAATATCGATTATTCGCCTAATTAAAGACGATAGACATTAATTTTAATTAATAATCTTTGAATTATGTATCAAGAAAGCTCAATTACGTTAATGAGTTTGTCGAAAAGGTGTTCCTGATCCGTCAGCCCGAGAAACTTGAAAACTCGATCGCGAATCCATCTTATTCTGTTTTAATAAAATAATGTTGTTTAATAAATGTTGGAGATAACACAAATTTGATTAATAATTTATGTAAACAATGTTAATACAATTTTATTAACTAATATTATAAATACCGATAATCCATGTATGAGATGGACGACTTATCATAGTCATCTTTGTCGTTTGAACTTTTCTGTTCCTCTTCTTCCTTCTTTTCCTCTTTTTCATTAACGTTTTTCTCCATATTTATATGTATATAGCGTCAATAGATTCAAAAAATTTTTTTATTACAGCTTTTAATTACTTTTCTTCAAACGATTAAAAATTAATAAAAATTAAGTGACATTGGAATGCTAAACCTTTAATGTTTCACTACGAAATAATAGGATCGTACTTCACATTATTTATTTTTTTCCATGTTTTATACAAGCAATGTGTCATTGTATTCCCTTAAAGCTTATTTTGAAAAAGACTGACACTGACTTTTATTTACAGCTGATTGGAGAAATTGTTACTGTAAAGAACTGTTCTGCAGTGTTTAATGCTTCACAACTTGATTAAATCGTCTTTGAAGAGTACTACACGCCCTACACGGTGAGAAACTTCGACATCGTCAGCGTTGTCATGGTGAATAAACGGCCTTTCAATGTAGGAGTATATACAGGGTAAGGGAGTATTTATTGATTACACAGTAAAATTCGTATAATGAGATTTAGTTTCAAAAAAATTAATGTGGAACCCTAGGGTTAAATGAGATACAAAATAATCAATTCGCAGTGTTACGTATGTTCTCCCGCACTCACACCGGATGCACACATTGTTACACATACACACTCTTCTCTTATACATGAGCAAGACCGTTTTATGAAACGTTACGAATGTTCATCGAAATCCATTATTGCAAATAAATCAGCAATAAGATTCATTTTGCAACATCTAATGTCTTATCTATATGGTCACATTAAGAAATACATATTACATTTTGGCGCACAAGAAGTAATTATGTGCATGAGTCCAAACATGCGTAAAAATATCATTTTTTATTATATTAACTAAGTTTAATCTTGTGATTAATACGGACGAGAGGTTAATAACTTCAAATACATATCTCACTATTTACTTGAATAGTATAACATAATATTCATATTTACTCGATATTTAAAAATATTAAGGTAGTTTAATTACTCTCTAAATTTTCAATCTTTTTATAATATAAAATTAAACTTTATGTGTTGATTAAGAAAATCATTGTTATATATATATTTTTTAATAATACAAACATATTAATGGCCGAGTTCACCGTTTTTGATTGATTGATTTTTTTAATTCTAGGAAAAAATCGAAGACCAATTATAGTTGATCGACGTTGATGAAATTGATCGTCGAAGACATCCCGGGGACCTCTAAACGTTCTTAATTTTTTATACTCTTCGAAGATCTCTCTAATGTCTTTTGAATTTTCTTATTGCTCGGCTTCCAAAGTTTCATTTTGTGGAGCTTCGTCTTGCGCGATGCTGGATTCATTTCTACCGCTTTCACTTGCGTGCTCGTCAATCAATCCTCCAAGAACTGCTTGAACGTATTCTTCGCGACCTTCGTTCGTATCTAGAGAGAATCCCAGAGAAGGAACGAACTCGGTCTCGACGGTAGTCTTCACGGATTCCGTCGTAGTAGTCGTTTCCTGCGTCGTTGTCGTAGATATTGAACTTTCCTTTTCGGTTTCCTCTTCAGTTTCGCTAGTTACATGCTTGCTCTCTTTTATCGGTAAACCGGTCTCGAAATCCAAACTTCTCTGCACTTGCGGCAGATCGAAGACGAGTGAACTACGAATCGAGTCATCGCGGTAAAGAGGCTGCCCGAAGTTTTCTGTCAATTGTTCTAGGATTTTTTCTTTTTGACGTGGTCGTACGATTCTGCTTTCTGGTTTCAATCGATTCGTCTTCTGCTCCGTGGCATTAGGGCTGACTCTCGAAGAAATATCAAGAGGCGGCTTGAGATCAACGTTAATAGGTGCCTTCAAAGTATCATCCAAGGAAGATATCTTGGGATCTGCATTTCCGAACGGCGTTTTGGCTTGTAAGTGATCCAATCGCGGACTCCCTGTGGCGAATGATGCTTTATTGAGTTGCAGATTCCGTGACACTTTCGACTCAGCAAGCTTAGTAGCGGGTGTCTTCAACGTATCGAAAGTAGATGTCTCGGAATTCGTGTTTTCGTACGTCGTTCTGGTTTGCGGATCCAATGTTGGACTCGCTGTGTCGTACGTTGATTCATCGAAGTTAAACGAATCATTTAGCTCTATGTTACCTAAGTCTTTCGCCGAAAATGGTCGTGGCAGTCGATCTAATTTCAACAATTCTGCCATTATTTGGAGAAGACTTACCATGCTCATATTTGAATCCGATTGTTTAAATTCACTAGCTGTATCATTTTCAGCAATGTAAAAACTATTGTTGTTTGCATTGTCCGGAGAAGCGTTACTTGTGTCAGAAAATTTCGGCGTCTGCAAAATGCTAGCAATTTCGATTTCCGGTTCTGCAGACTTGATAATCTCGAAGTCGTCCAGTTCATCTTTCAAGACGGAATCCGGTCGCTGGTGCTGAGTGATGAGTCGACTGATAAAATCGTCAGCGGTCGTCTCCAGATCCTCATTTTTCTTGACTGTGAATGATACTGCATAAGGAGAATCATCTTTATCAATCGTCTCCTCGATCTGTTTTAAGGATCCCGGACGGATCGAGTGTAACAGACTCCTCGCTGTCGTGGCCACTGTCTGTTCTATTTCCTCTTCAGGTCTTTCAATTTCTACAATGCCTCTCGGTGTAACCGTTTTCAAGTTTGAATTTTTTATATCAATGTCACTATTAATCGAAGATTTTGCAGTAGATGTCGAAGATTCAAAAGCACGTGTTACTGATTCTTCAGGCAACTTTAATTTCTTCGTGCTACTCGAAAAAGTTAGTTGTTCTGGAATCCTTGTAGACGCTTTCGTACCGATCGAAACTGTCCTTTCTTTCACACTCGGCGTAGAAACCGCAATTTTGGGAGTGACAGAACTCGTCTCGCAGCGTCCTCCTTGCTTGTCAGAGGTTGAAGAGCATCTGGAATTTGTTTTCGACTCTTTCTGAGCCTTGATAGCGTCTCTAATGGTGAATTGGAATCTTGTATTGTACCGGGTCAGGATATCCGCCTCGCTGTCGTTTTTCTTCGAGGTCGTCGGAGAATTCTGCGTTCTTTGCGAATCCACGGGTACTGTGTGGTCAAATTGCTCTGTGTAGGAGTGTTCATTTGGCGGTACAAAGTCATCGAAGCCATCGTTGTAGTCAACGATCGGCGGAACGATATCGGTCACGGGAACATCGACGATCGATCGACCGTGCCATGTAGAAACGAGCCATGGAATGGACGTGGATACTTCGGTGACCACTTGAGCAGGGTGAACTCCTGGATTAGGCGTCTCCGAAAAACTCTCATCTGTATAATCAATCAACTCGTCGTATATCGGCGATTGATCTTCATTTTTTATGAGTGTGCTAGAAAATTGTGGGATCTCTGTGGTCGTCGCCTCAGAGCTCCAAGATGTCTTGGAGTTCTCATCAATCGTCGTATAGCGCGTTTCTTCAGGAACATTAATAAGAAAACGTCCCACCGGAGGCTTCAAAAACTGCGACGGCTGAGGAACCTGAAAACTAAGGTTTATTTTGTGTACGGACTCGTCGTTAAAGTTGGAGATCGATCCGGTCGGCGACGAACTCTGGTCCTCGGCTACGCGGCTTTCGTTGGATGAAGAGCCAGCAGCGATTTCGCCATTAATCTCATCGACGGTTCTCTCAGTCGTATTTATCGCAGTCATTGGTACGGTCGATACTTTCACGACGTCAACGTCTTTCTGTTCCCAATGTTTCAGCAGCGGAGTCGTTCTATCACCGAAGCTCCTCGTCGTCGAGCTTGAGATATCCTCGTAATCTTCCGTCGATCGATCGTTGCTCGTCTCATTGAAAACATCTGACTTCTTTAGGGTATTTGATGAAGTCACATCGTCCGCTTTCTCATAAGTCCTCGATGAAGGATTTAAAACTGTCTGCAATGGAATAGGCGTAGTCGAACTTCTTCGTTCGTCCTTTGACACTTGGTATATAGGATTTTGATTCTGTATATTCAGCGCTCGAGCGATTCCGATGCTGTCTTTCGTCTCGATATCTTCCAAGCTATCTTCGCTATTAATCTGGATTACCGGCCTGTCATTCTGCTGCCTAAATACTTCGTCTTCGTCAATCGTCTCGGTTACGTTGATCCTGAACTTCGTCTCCGACGTCCCCTCGAAAACGAGACGCACTTCGTCATTCTTAGCGCGAACATTGTCGCCTTTTTGATCGTTGTCTTTATTCGCTCTCGATGACGAGGCGTTCTCCGATTTCTTCAGACCGTCATGTCTCGTTTCACTCTCTCTCAAATCAATCTTTCTCATGTCGTCATTCTGATGAGTAATCGTGGGAGGGGTCACCGGGCTCTTGCTTTGCGCATAAAGATGATCGGAGCTGTCCACCATCAAATCCAGCTTGCTATAGGCCAACGTGGAAGGTCGATAGGTCGTCGGGACCGTAGGCGAATATAATCTTCTAGTGGTGGTGGTAACAGTGGGAACGGTAGGCGCGTAGGACGTCTGTAATTGATTGGTGAACCCGTCGGGTCTACGATAGTCGTCCTGAAACTCGTTATCGCCGGATCGATCCTGATAATCGTGTTGAATGATCGCGGACGCATGATAGGGCGATCGTCCTTTATTTTCCATAAAATGAGGTTTGCCTTGATACACAGTATTCGCCTTCTTCTGCTGATATCGATTATCGTAATTAAGAATTTGCCGCGCGTCCTGTTGTGGATAGTCCTCGAATCCGCTCGGTAGGTCATTCCCAGTCGCCTCGACCGCCGCGTAATCCGTGATTCTGCGGAATCCGGGCGTGTAGCCCATCACAGTCCTGCCGGCGAGCGCGGAATAATCAATGATCCTGGCACCGCTGTCGGGATCCACCAGACCGTCCTTGGTGACGGCCTCCGCGGAGGCTTGCAGACTGATCATCGCGTACGCGTTGCGAATCATCTCGTCGTCATCAATCTGATAGCTGTCGCGATTCATTTCCAGATATCTTCTGGTGGAGGAACAATCGACCTTGGTCCACCAGTCGCAGGTCAGCAGCTTCTGGCTGAAAGTCGAGCCGATCGGGCACAGGAAGGAGGACACCAGCACGTCGTGGCACACGTGGAAGACCTGACAGCCGGCCGCTTCGTCAGCGTAGTAACCTGTTGAGCAATCGTACACAAGCGGATCTTTGAATTATGATTTTTATTCACGTTCCTTTTAGAATTTATCAGAGAATATAACATTCCACTAAAAATCATTATAATTTCCCAAAATTGAAGATTGTAAATCTTTGATAATGAAATGTATTATCATTATTTCTGCAACATCCTGTGTAAAACTTTTATTTCAAATATTTTTAGTATAAAATAAATATTAAACAAAATTACTTTAGTACGGTATAATTATAAAATTGGAAGTTTCTTCGTGGATGTTCAATATAAATGAAACAAATATTCAATCTCTCGTTTTAACATTAATAATTCGAAAATTAATATAGAGTATGATGATTAGACAATAATTGTAAATGAATGTTCACAAGGATTAGAAATTTGTTATGTATGTATGCTATAATATAATAAATACGTAGATTTCGCTTATGTAACTGTACGTAGCAGCGTCTCGTCAACGTTCGTCGATGTTCCTTTTGTGCACCTCATCTTTCTCTCAACGGATTATCTATAATATCTGCGGTCAGCGTAGTTGAGCAGCGAGTTTCAGTAACATCGGGTTTCAGCAGCAATATTGTGGAAAATTAAATGAAACTATATACAACGCATACTTTTACCAATAACGGATGGTAGTTTTCTTAACGTATTCAATCGATTTATTGAGAAAACCGGTAGTAGGAAGTCTGACACTGAGCATGTTTTCTTTTTAATTTTAGAAATCTCATTTCAGGCTAAACATCTTGTCTGACTAGATAGGATTACATTAATTATTTCATTGGGTTTCAATTTCAGTTCTGTATGACATGTCATTCGTGAAATCATTCATCATGTAGTTTATATGATTATATAAAGTTTATGACAAAGTTTACAAATACAGTGATAGATGATTATAAATTCGGGAGAGTGAAATGGAGTCTTCATACATGATTACAAATACAAAGAAAAAAAGAAAATGACCTTTTACTGAAATAATCTTATTTTCTCGATTAGAATCATTATGCTTGATTTATTAAAATAATGCAATTTTATTTCTCTAAAATATAAACATTTGATATGCTTTTTTTTTAAATAAAAAAAAAAGAAATTTTTGTGCTCATTAAATAAATATTATATTTAAATAAATCTTTTGAAACAGGATTAACCAATCGATCAAACTTTTGTTTAAAAAGAATAATTAAATGACTTGCATGTAACAATTAAAATTTTACACGTATATATAGTATAACAAATTTTATTTGTTACATCAAAATTATCTTTGTTTTTATCGAAAGCATATTGCAGCAAGTTAATACTAGTCGATTATTAACGGCAATTTTTAGCTTTTACATGTAAATTGTTTAATTCTGTTTTCAACGAAAATATCAACTGATGGTGAGAGAAATGGATCGTTACTTTAAACAGTTCAAACGTTCACATGACGAGTTTACAAAGCGAAGCGAATTCGAAACGGAACATGCGATCGCGATAGTCCATTGTCAGAAATCAATTTGAAGTGCTGGAAATGAAATATTCGGCTCATTTAATTTTTGATACATTAAATATTACGGCGACGGCTCGCGCGTTTATTTTGTGAGACACGCTAGCCCGTTTTTTGTGTATTTACATTGCCGCGCGCCTAGACTCGAGCCGTTGCTCGCGCGGGCGGGGTGGAGGATGGGGGTGACGACGCCACGCGGACGCGAGTGCGAGTCACGCCACTTGCGCACTATTGCGCAGTCGCCGCCGGCCGCTCGCCCGCTGCATCGCGTTATCCCCCGGGACCCGGGACGCGGTCGCGGCGAAACGCGATTCTCTGCGAACAATTATGGAATATCAGCCGGCACGGTTGATCCGCTTCGCCAAAAGCGATTCGAAGGAAAGATAAAATGAGGTAAAAACCTCTCGAGAGTTTCGAGACGATGGTCGTTCGTCGGAATAAGTATCTCGCGTGTCTTATTCGCGCGAAACGAAAATCAAAGCTACAAGGGAGACAAAAATTGTTAAGCGTTGCTCCATTACGCGTTTGCAGGCGGCGATTCGGAGCATGTATCGTGGAACTTTTCAGAATTACGAATTCATTTCGAATCCAGTTTTACAATATACATATATATATATGCCCAGATACGCTTAAATTTCAATAAATCTATCGATGCTCTTTGACGATCGTTTTTGCGGAAAAATGTACGAGATGCCGAACCGTAGAATATATCGACAGTTCAATAACTCAGTTTGATTCAATGATTTTAATCGCATATTTTTTGGCAATTCGTCGCGTCTTGATCGGCCATTAATCGGCTCACGTCGCCGTCGCGTCGTGTCGCGCCGTAGCGCAATGAAGTTGGTTGCCGCATTCGAATTTTTCAGCCGTTGACTTACGCCGTGAATACGGGACAGGTCGACTCCGACTCCGACTATATACTCCGATCCGAGTCGAGCGGCCGGCGCCGGCATCGCGACGCGTTTAATTGTAGTAAGTACAATCGTAATCAGCATCGTATCTCGATAATTAACGATCCTGCGGCGTGAGTTCAGGGTAAATATATGGGTAATCCGTTGGAGTACGTAGGTATTTCGTGATTAGATTCATGCTCCGCGGAATTCGCCTTTGCGGACAGCAGCGAGGCGACGATTGTTCTCTGGAGTGTCGCGTTCCGCGGGTAATTTATCTCGATTTCGGCTCGCGTATCTATGCATTCGGGCTACAAATACGCGACGGTAATCGTCCTGAAAGAGAACGTGAGCGATCTATGTCATGTCGAGCGCGAAAAGTGAGCGAAAATTTGGTTAGTACGTAAGACGGCGGCGGCGATGGCGGGCGGGCGGGGCGGGTGGCGGGTGACGGGTGACGGGTGGCGTGGTGAAGTTGACCGCAGGATTTACGAACTCCCTCGCTCCCTCCCTCCGCCATGTTAGACTTTTCCGTAACGTTAATCGCCGGAACGTCGCGAGATCGTGGCTTTGTGCGATTACGTGGGTTTCTCACGTTACTCGTCCGTCGTGATGCAACGAAATGCGCGTCGCGTATGGTCAACGTACGGAAATGCCGGCGCAAAGTATATAGCCACATCGTGTCGGTGATTAACGCGCTAATCATTGTTGAGTGATTAATATGTGATCGTAACTAACAGTGTTGCGTATTATACTTGCGTGAGTGAAATGGTGAATGTGTGCGTCATGACGGTGGACGGAGCAACGACGAGGAGGTCTGAGGGGAGGAGGAGGCCTGGGATGGCATCGGGCATCGCGGAGCAACCATACGGGTAAATATCAGCATTTTATTGATTATACTGTATTATATCATTATCACGGGATTTATTATTTTTATTT